CGTGTGCTCTTCCGATCTTATACGAATTTCTTAATCGATTAGAGGTTAATTTATCCACGTGATTATTCTACTTCAAGTCATCCAAGTGATTATTCTACTCTACAAAATTGTGAAAATGGAAAAAATTTCACTATATGATAAAGATACTGATAAAATATACGACATAACGTTATCACGGGAAGATGCATATCGTGCTAAAAAAGGTATAAAGATCAAAGAATTAATTTAAACAATTGTTATGATAATAGATAATCTTTTAAACTTAGTACTGTACTTTAAATTAAGTATATTGCTTTAAAAAAAATTTAATTATATGGCATTTTTAAATAATTATATTGTTTATTTCAATAACCCATTATGTAGTTTCGTTTTTATATAATAGTAAATCAATCTGTTTAATTTTGTATAGATATAGCCTTTGCTACTAGTCTTTTAAATGCAACAATTATGGATAAGACTATCACTGAACAAACTGAGGAATTATCAGAAGATTTAGATACACAGTTTGATTCAATGTCAGAAATTTCAGACATTAATAATGATTTTCAATCAACTGCAGACAACAACGAAGAAGGTAGGTTTTAAATTTTTGAGTTATTTTTTCTAATATTTATGTTTTTTATTTTATTATTATTTTTTATTTTTATTAATTGTTTTGATCGGAATGTCTAATTATATATTGTATTTATATAGGTTCTCTTTATCGATGGCCAGAAGCATCTGTACTCCTCTTATTGAGAATACATACAATAACAACTAAAAAATTTACATGAATAACTTAGATACTGTAAATAAATAAATACCATTATATACAATATATTTAACTTCATTAATAAGATTATAACAAATATGCTGTACTAAAATTATCGCATAAATAAATAAGAAAATATATAACAAACGAGATATCTAACCTAAAATGACTTTTAAATTCCTCATCTGAATAGAGCTCAATAAGAAGTTCTACATTTTTCATGCGAGGACGTAAACTACGTTTCTGTTTTGTAACTAATTCCCAGTCTTGATCAGATTCACTTGAATCACTTTCTGATTCAATTTCTCTCAATATCAACGTACTAAACGCTGCAATGTTTTCCGCCATTATTTAACGTTTAGAATGCTCAGAACACTCAGAATATTCGTTCCACTTGCTTACTACATCCATGCTAGTGGACGAATGATCGCGGCGTTGCGAGCGTGAGCGTTGTGAGCGTTAAGTGGAACGCGACCCCTAGTAGTATAAATA